TTAGTAACGTCTAATTAACCACGAGAGTTTGTCACAAAGGGAAAGGAAAAGCAGGGCAGTCTCGGGAGGGCGGCGCGGGTCGCGGGCTGGCGGCGCGGGCGGGCCGGGGTCGGGTCGGGGTCGCGCCGTCAAACTAGTGGCTGGTCTGGTATGAAACATTCAACGCTGCTGCCGAGGCGGCTGCCAGGCGCGGTGCGCCCTCGCAGGGACAAGGAAAGCTGCACACTTCCAGCACTTCGATTTTGAAACACATTTACACCACAACTTACGAAAATGGTGGTTTTATTCGCGCTGCGAGGGCGCGGTGGGCGGTGGGAGTTGTTCAAGGTGTCTAAGTTCGCGGAGGCGCGGGTGGCGGCGTCCGCTGTTTCTTTCCAGACTTTCAGACCCCGCCCCAAGATACAAAACGAGAGAGGGGGAGGGAGGAAGGGAGGGAGGAAAGGGGCGAGCGAGAGAGACAACCGGGTTGGGGCGGAGCAGCTCTCTGGCGGCACCCGTTGGCCCCGTCCTGTCGCCTAGCTGTGACATCATTTATTATCCAGCCATTCATTTATGTGTCATCGGCACAGAGCTGGCGCACAGAGCGGCGCGCGCGAGTCCGTGTCGCTGGAGCAGGAGCTGGAGCTGGAGCAGGGGCTGGAGGAGCGGCACCCGCGCATACAGGATAGAGTCCCGCGCTTCCGACCAAAGCGCCGTGTTTTGATTTATTTACTTTTTTTTGATAAGCGGGCGATTGGGGGGGGGGGGGGGCGTTCGAAATTTTTTAGTATTTTTAGCTCAGTCAATGTGATGTTTTTCATATTTTGTAAATCTTTTACAGTGGTGCGCACCAGTTAAGGATGGCAGTGAAATCGAAAGATGGGCATGTAGTAGCGGACTCCCGATCAAAGTAAGTTTCCTGATCGGCTTTGCGGCCCGGGCAGCACAGCCACGGGAGGGGTATAGGCAAGCCGTCAAGGGGCTCAAGTGAGGCGCGCGATGGGCGTTGGGAGCGGGCGAGTGGGCGGG